TTGACTAAGTTAAATTTTAGGATTAAATTCAGATTTGCAAGCCGCGTGAGACAACCAAAATTAATGTGACAAAGTCGTGAATGCCATATATTCGACTCATCCGAAACATTAACATTGTTCACCACTTTATTACACATATCATCAAGCAAAGATAAGCAGAACAAGCCTCCGCAATCATAACATTTTCCAATAAATGTTCCATGTCTCGACACAACACACTTATTGGACTCAAGCACAATTTTAAAGCCATCACGACACATTTGAGAAGCGCTAACAAGATTCTTCTTGATGGAGGGGACATGTTGCACGTTCTTTAATAGCATCGTCTTTCCGAAGTAAACTTCAGAACGACCGTACCAGCACCAAGAACACGCGCATGCGAACCGTTTTCCATCAGCAAGGCTCTAGTCCTGCCGGCCTTATAAAAAGTAAATAAAGAAACATCAGCACACTCATGAATATTAGCACCGCTGTCCATCCACCACTCTGGTGAAAGATAAACTGAGAGAACAAAAGGTTAAGAATTACCATACCCAGATGTTCCTCCTTCAGTCTCGCTAATCACCACGTTTGCTGATTTCTTTTCTTGCTTATATTTACGGTCTGGGCACGCACTTGCCAATGCTCATCACTCCCGTAAACAAAGTTATCTCCACCTTTCTTGTTGTTTTTCTTCTTAAACTGTGCAGTTTGCTTAGGCTTTGTATTGTTGTTTTCTTGTATGTTCTTCTTGGTTTTATTACGAGATGCAAATGAGTTTTTCTTCTACACCATATTGGTGGCGGAAGACTCAACTCCTTTTCCATGGTTATCTTTTGCTCTCACCCTCTCCTCAACATCAAGAGATCCAATAAGCTCAGCCACGCTAAACTCTTGTCTCTTGTGTTTTAGAGAAGTAGCAAAATCCCTCCAAAAAGGTGGCAGCTTAGCGATAATACCGCCAGCCACAAACTTGTCGGGCAACATGCATGGAAAATGTTCTAGTTCCTTTGCTAGCACCTATATCTCATGAGCCTGTTCGACCACAGAATAATTTTCAACCATTTTGTAGTCATACAGCTGCTCCATAAGGTACAGCTCACTGCCAGCATCAGAAACTCCAAACTTTACCTCAAGAGCATCCCATAATTCTTTGCCTGATGTGCAAGATATGTAGTTTTTCTCATACTTATAATGAAGTGCACTGATCACGGCGCCTCGAAACAGGTTATCGGTAGCCAAAAACTTTTTCTCCTCCTCAGGAGTAAACTGTTTAGGCTTTCCCTGGGCGGCGTGATAGCAGTTCATCGCAGTCAACTACAATACCATCTTGGCACGCCATATCATGAAATTCTTGCCATCAAAATTATTTGCCTTCAAAGTAGCAGCAAAACCACTAACAGAAAATTGCCTAAGATTAGGTTTTTGGATTGTAAAAATTTAGACATTTTCATTATCAGTTTAATCCAGAAAAATAACATCAGCAGGTTCGTGACGGCATATATGTGCATGTGTATATCTGTGATGAATGCTACAACATGCAAAGATGACATACAGATGAATACAGTAAAAATGAGTACAGTAATCACAGATATTAGATTGTACCCAATGGAGGGTCCCATGCCAAGGGCATCGGATGCTCCATTCGCACTAGTCGACATAGTGCGTTGCTCGAAGTCGCGGACCACAGTCGGTGCAGGACGATGTTCGCAGTGCAGTCCCACGAACGGATCACCGGGAAGAAGACGGGTTCCGAGAGATCACCATGGATCACTAGGAAAAAGACGGGTTCCGAGAGCGATCACCACCCGAAAGAAGGCGTACGTGGACGGGCAGTCACGGATCGCTCCCAAAAAACCTAATCACCGCACACCCGCAGAGGTACGGGATGGGGAAGCCAGAAAGCTACTGAGATGTGGTTTCTCTCGGGAGCGATTGCGGAAGACAGATGGAGATCTGGACTAAAGGAGGACTGCAAATATATGGCTGCAACGGAAAGGGAGAGAGCAGCGGAGAATCCCAGAAGACGGAGAGACGGAAGTGGAAAAGATGATAACTGACACAATCAATTCGCCTCCACCATCAAAGGGAGTAACTCCCGTGATTATGTAGATTAAGTGGCAAAAGACTAGCCACGCCACGCCACGGCCCGCGTCTCGGCCCGGGCGGCGGCGGCGGCGCGCGCGCGTGTGCACGCCTATGTCCTTTTCTCAGCTTCTCAATTAAGATGAATAATTTCCAACCATATAAGCTGAGTCAACGTCAAGTCAAAATCCTATATAGTATTAAAGCATACAACGCTTAATGTTACGTACCATAGAATTTTATTTGATTTATTAAATAGCCCGTATTATATCAACAGCTACGATTAACATTGATTTTCTACCGGTCTTCGCGCGCGGACGGAAAAAAAAGACAAAAAAAGGCAGTTGGCTCATTTACCCCGTGCCGCCATCTCGCATTTGCAAAACGGAGTGGAAACGGGAGCAGATAACCCGATTGGCCACATTGTAATATAATAGTATTAGGCACGGTGAGAAGCTCGGAACATGACTCCAGATTTTTTTGCTGATCGCGGTCTGGATAGACCATAGACCACATCATATACTCTCTCTATCCCTAAATATATACTATTTTCGCTTCCCGAAACAGCTTTGATTAAATATATATTAAAAATATTAATATTTATGATACATAATTAGTATTATTGAAAAGATATTTGAATCTAGATTTTTAATAAATTTATTTGAAGATAAAAATATTGTACGCATTTCCTATAAATTAAATCAAATTTACGGTTGTACACCAATGATGATAGTTATTTAGGGACGGAAAGAACGGTTACTTCGAGAGGAATTATAGGAGTACAACACTACAAATCTTTTATCCACACCGACTGTGTTCCACTTTATCCTAGACTAGCAAATATGCTGGTGCTTGTAACGGGAGAGAAAGAACAGCTAATTCGACGTGTACCATTACAATGGATATGCTTCTAACTTGCGTAGTGACGGCAGCTCACTGGTCCCGGCCTCCAACTTGCCCGTGGGCGACTGGGCGGGCGGGCGGGCGAGCGGTCGGCTGGCGTTGATCTGCCTCAGCAACCGAGACCAGGGTGTGTGTCCTAGTGGTATGCATAAAGACAAACTTTTAAAAACCTATAATTCAGGACAAGATCAATATAATAATTGTTGTGATTACTATAAGGGAAAATTGGTTTCATAGCATTGAAAGATTACGAGATTCAGAAAATACCACTGAAAGAACTTCGTTATGTAAAATACCACTGAAAGATAGAACCGTTATCCGAAAGTAGCATTCTATATGGTTTGAAGGTAACAGCGTAAACACCGTCGATTCCCGTCCATCTAATAAAGGCAAAAAAAAATCCAACTCCCAGCTACTCGAGCCGGACATGGAAGATGCAGGGCGGCACCGACAAGCGGTGGCGCGCGGGACGGCGGTGTCCGCATCGAAGAGGGAATCTCAGCAGCTCGAGCAGTGCATTGCGGCGGCGCTTCATGCGCGTGGCTGGCTGCCGGCGTCTCGCTTGTGGGCGCGCAGTGGCTCGAGTAGCGTGGCCCGATGGAGGTTCGCGCACAGGCGCGTGGCAACTCAAGCAGGGCGGTCTGGCGGCTACTCGTGCTCCGGCGCGCGGCGGCTCGAGCAGGGTGGCCCGGTGGGCTGCTCGCGCATAGGCGCGCGGCAGCTCGAGCTGGTTGGGCGAGAGCAGCGGCGGCCGAGCGTGAGCAAAATCACCGGCGAAGATTAGGCCTCCTGAATCTGTAGCTGAATCCACGCAACATAGACTCGAAGAAGACGCTATGGAAACGAGGCAAAGAAACAGCCTTGGGCAGATGTCCTGCTGGCCTGTTGACCCAGTGGGGTACCCACCATGGAATTTGTGGTGTGGATTGGCTTGGCGGTCGCTCGTGCAAGTTTTTTTTTCCAGTATGACCTACGCCGGAGCTGAGGAAGACGAAAGGGATGTGATTTCCACTTGTGCTCACGTGGGAAGAAGGGAGGAGCAACGGTGGACTCACATCGTTAGCTCAAACCGTGACAGAATGGTATTTTCAGGTAACAGATTGTTTTTTCGGTGGTATTTCATGTGGCCGTGATATTTGAGTGGTATTTTCTGAATCTCATCATCTTTGGATGTTATAAAACCAATTTTCCCTTAATATAATGGTTATCTTGGCACGCATTTGGTCGAATCTACAGAATCGATCTTGTTTAATTTAGGGTTGGTGACGGAGAGATATACAACTTGCTATATATATAATATATGCAATGTTGTAGATGATTGTGACAATGTGACCTACACAGCATGCACATTTGCGCCACACTGGTACCCAAGCGACGTGTAGCCATAGCTACCACATAGCACACTATTATTTTTTTGTCGCGATGGCTACTGACTCCAGTTCTCCACCAGATACCAATAGAAGTTTCGATGCATACACTGTATAGTACTCTGAAATTTCGGAAAGTTTAGTTTGTTAAGTTCGTTAGCCTTGAGATGCTGACTAATCTTTGGAATTAGAAAACTTAATTAAGCGGAAGTAGCCTTGAGTATGTATATGCATCAGCACCTTGTACACATATAGCAGTAATCAGGTGTATTCAAGTAAAGTCCAAATTTGCTGCATATAAACTTGACAATGTGCATCGAGTCTCATGACTTTATTACATGAAGTTCAAAGATGGCGACCTTTACATGCCGCAAACTATAGCATGAATCAACGAAATGGATTACAATTACAACCGGCGCGCTAGACGCCGGCCGCCGGCGACTTTAAGAAATGGGCGAACTGCTGGGAGCAGGTGCACTGACTAATGAACAGTGAACCAATGCAATGAACAGTGAACCTCCGCTAGGTGGTATCTGACGTCCATGGAAGCTGCGCGCAGCTTTGCTATTTATGTCTGACTCCGTGGTTAGTGATTACTACAACCAACGTACTACCACCCTGGTTAGTGAAATTAGAAGTCAAGTGAGGGCGAGGTAGGAGTGTTTAATGGCGGAAGGCAAGGATGCGCACGGGTGGGCAGCCAGGGATGCCTCTGGTCACCTCTCCCCTTACCACTTCTCACGGAGGTATGCCTCTTCACTGACCATACTGAGTGCATTATGGAGCTAGCCCGCCGTGCATCTTCTTCGTATGCTGAAATGGTGCGCCGCGCGCCGTTTGACTTTGATCTCGATTTCAGGGTTCAGAGAGACGACGACGTCACCATCAAGGTGCTCTTCTGCGGGCTTTGCCACACCGACCTCCACGTCATCAAGAACGAGTTTGGCAACGCCATGTACCCCGTCGTTCCCGGGTAATATAATTATGTTCACCAACACCAAGCAACCAAGGTTTCATCGACCGCAGCAAGCAACGAATTATCATTCATTCCCGGTGCAGGCATGAGGTCGTCGGCGTCGTCACGGACGTCGGCCGCGGCGTCACCAAGTTCAAGCCCGGCGACACGGTGGGCGTGGGCTACTTCGTCGACTCGTGCCGCGCCTGCGACAGCTGCGGCAAGGGTACGAGCTACTGCCCGCAGCTCATGCCAACCTCCAACGGCGTGGGCTTGGAAGCACGGACGGAGCTACGTGGGGGTCAAACTGGGTCCTGGCCCCCCTGCTCCGGCTGCACTCTACAGGTTTACATGTCGCTGCATGTATGTAATTAATTTCTACATCTCTTATACCATACTTGCTGTTGCTGATTAGTAGATTACAGCTTACAAGTATATAAATCTGTACATTATTCATTCTTCTTTGACAGGATTTCAATTGTTTATTGCAGTATATATAGATAGAACTTGAAAAAACAAAAATTTTCCACAGAATTCTAATTGTCTGTACTACTATTGATAAATTACTGTAGCAATGTACCTTTGAATTGGCCCCCTACACATTCATGCAAGCTCCGTCGCTGCTTGGACGACGGCGGCGCCACCACCCAGGGTGGCTTCTCCGACGTCCTCGTCGTCCGCGTGCACTACGTGGTATGGGTCCCGTCCAGCCTGCCGCCCGCTGGGGCCGCGCCGCTGCTGTGCGCGGGCGTCACCGTGTTCAGCCCCCTGGTGCAGTACGCGCTCAACGCGCCGGGGAAGCACCTGGGCGTCGTGGGGCTCGGAGTACGTGTTCAGGTTTGGCAAGGCGTTCGGGATGAAGGTCACCGTGACGAGGCCGAAGTACGTGTTCAGGTTTGGCAAGGCGTTCGGGATGAAGGTCACCGTGATCAGCACGTCGCCGGGCAAGCGCGACGAGGCGCTCGCGCGCCTCGGCGCCGACGCGTTCCTGGTCAGCCGCGACCCTGCGCAGATGGAGGCGGCGGCGGGCACGATGGACGGCATCGTTGACACGGTGTCGGCGGACCACCCTGTCGCGCCGCTGCTGGACAGATGGTTGTCGTTGGGTTTCCGAGCAAGCCTCTTGAAGTGCCCGCCTTCGGCCTCGTCACCGGCGGGAAGCGCGTGGCCGGGAGTGCCGGCGGCGGCGTCGGGGAGTGCCAGGCGATGCTGGACTTCGCGGGTGAGCACGGGATCACCGCGGATGTAGAGGTCGTCGGGATGGACTACGTCAATACGGCGATCCAGCGCCTAGAGAGGAACGATGTCAGGTACGGCTTTGTTGTCGACGTTGCAGGCAGCAAGCTTGGCGTCGCTGCTTAGGCTAGGAACCACGATTCACAGTTCTGCCGATCGAACGTGTCAATTTGCTTCCTCGAACGTGTGTCTTGTGGTTTTTGGTTCGACTACGCAGCCATTGGGTAGAGTTTTGGGTTGTATCGTATATGTGCTCGTGTGTAACATTTAAGAAAGTTCCTATATATGTGAACGATCACTTCCATATAGGTACGCCAAAAGTTTCCAAATTCTATTTGTTGGATTGAGAGATTCTAGCTAACTTTGGTGCATTATTATCTCGACCACCACTACAACAACGATTTCTAAAACGGTAATGCTGGGAAACAGGGCACCGACATCCAAAAGGCTATCCTATCCGTTCCTATCCGCCCCTCTCTGGTCACCGTAGTTTATAAAAAAAATCACGCATTGTGGCGATTGCACTCCACGACCGCGCTCCGCTGCGGCCCCTCGTACGCTTTCTTCTCCACTGCCCCTGCACGACTGCTGTCGCCGCCTCCACCTTAGGAGCCGCTCGCCGGGGGCACGCCACGCGCCCTATCACCGGGGGCAACGCAGCCGCCCGCCCGCTGCCATCCTCCTTATCCACCACTACCGCATAGCCGGATCTCGCTGTGCCGCGCTCCACCCGCCTACCAAGTTTTGCTAAAAGAGCATGTTGCAAGCGTATATTTAAAGTGTTTCAAATGTTTAAGAGATATGTTGCAAGTGTTTTATATGTATATTACAAAAGTAGATCGGGATGTTGCATATATATGTTGCAATGGCTATACACGTATGTTGCAAGCGTCAGTTCTAAATGTTTCATATGTTTTTTCAGACGTATGTTGCAAGTGTGTTTATCTGGATGTTGCATATGTTTTCACACATATGTTGCAAGTATTTTATCCGGATGTTGCATATGTTTTGCAATGGCTTTCAAGTGTTTTTATGTGCTTTTTGCAAGTGTTCATACATATGTTACAAGTGTTTCAGTTGTTGTTTCGGATGTATGTTGCATGTGTTTAATCTAGATGTTATAAAAGTAGATCTCGTATTGCACATGTTGCGATGAGACCCACCTGCTACAGCCACCTGCTGCAACAGTTGGGGCGCCGCCGAGTGGGTGCAGACGTTCCCGCGTGCATGCACGTGGGATACGGAAGGGGGCGCGAACGGTCCTCGTGCACGGTCTGACGGCGTGGGCCCCGCATGGGCACACGAATCATAGGCGCGGGAAATAGACTGCAAGCACGGGTGGGTGACGTCCGGGGCGTGGGCGCACGAAACGGCGTGAAAAACGGACCGGACGCTGGCGTCTATCCCGACATCCGGACGCTTGCACTACCGTTTCTAAAAGTTCCTTTTTTTACTCGTGGTTCACAAAATCAACAATCTTAGAAATAGATAGGAGAGGGACAACTTATGACCCACCTCTGTAAGGATCATGTGCCCTATGTATGTTTGTTTTGGTGGTTTAGACCTAACATCTTAACCTGATGTGGGTGCTCACACTTATTTGATGTATCCTGAGATGTAACGGTGCTATTCCTTTTTATGCTAAACGATGTGTCCATGAACAGTGAGGGTGTATGATGACTTTATTAATCATAAAATCTGCCAATCCAATCTTCCGAAGGCGTTCATAATAATTCATAAGGATACAGTGTACGCACGTGCATGTATGTAAACACCCCAAAACAAAAACAAAATGAGCCTATTCTGACCCAACTAACGTGTCTAAAAGTAGCGTGCCAGCCTGCCACACGCCACTTGGTAATTGGCAAAAATATTCGGTGCATACACGTTCTACTCGGTCGAATCGTAAAACCTTTTGGAAAAAATATATGTAGGAGTTTTTAGAAAATTGAAAATTATGCATATCCAAAGTACATTTACAAATGTATATTGTTGCAAATTTGAGATTCAAACTCAATCTAAAAAAATATATGAAAATGACAAATTTCAGGTGCACATGCATGATAAGACAAAATTACAATGAATTTTGTCCTCTAGTGCATATATGCATCTAAAATTGGTTATTTTCATATGATTTTTTTTACAAAATGAATCTGAATATAATCTCAAATTCTGCTACAACGTGTATCTATAGATTCATTATGGATAAGTATAGTTTGAAATTATTCGAAAACCCTTAAGTATGTTTTAGTTAAGGGTTTTCATGATTTCACCGAGCAGAGAATTTGCACTGGATATTTTCACGTAGGTAATTCAGTCTCTCCTCCTTACTAGTACTACTGCTACTAGGCGTCTAAGTCCAACAACCTTTCGGCCTATCTCTCTGGTGCCTAATGAATTCGCTTATTTAAGCCCATGTTTTGAAATTTTAAATAATTTAGTTGCGCTCTGTAAAATAATCTCAATTGAACTCATTTCTCCCTACCTTATTATTATTCGTCCTAGCTTCTCCGTCTTTCTGGCCTCTTTCCTTCAGGTTCATGACCCTGGCCGTTCGCAAACTGTTCGATAAACCTACAGTATTATATAACTTCCTCCACGAGCTAGATAGAGAGACAAAGCGAATAGGTTATTACTCCCTCCGCCTCTAAAAGAATCCTACAACTAAAACGAACAAAGTGTGAACATTTTTTAGTGCGATATTTGTTTTGGTTCGTCCGTCTGCCCACGCCTGCGATCCTACGACATCTCTTTGATTGAATATTGCCTGTCATGTGATAGAGGAATCATGGCAAAATATAAAGTAGAAAATTATTGTGCTATCCATATACACATTGCATGTTTGCATGTATCAACATACATGGCAACGAGCAAAAAGAAAGAGAATTAACACAGAAGGGAAGAGAATTAAGACAAAAGGAACATCTTTACATTTCTGAAAACCTTGCCAAATCTGCCTACATTTAATTACTTCCCCTCTTTGCATTTATAAAGGGACAATTTTTTCATCCTTTCATTTGGTTTCACGCTCACATGTTCCATCGGCCTCGGTCTCCTCCCTGCTCGTTGCTCCCCTTGCGATCGCGGCATCGCTCCCCTCAGTGACTCCCCGCTTGGCCGTGCTGCACGTCTTCAACCACCGTGAGGCGGCGCGGCGTCCACAGCGCTGGAGGGCCGGATCGGGGGCACCGTGGTGCTGGTAAAGAAGGACGCGCTCAGCTTGGGCCACTTCCAGGCGTCGCTCCTCGACAGCATCCACCATATCCTCGGCTAGGACACCGGGCTCGCCTTTCTAGCTTGTCAGCGCCACCAAAGCCGACCACCGTGAGGTGGCACGATGTCCCGGTGCTGGAGGCGGCGCACGCGTCCGTGCGCGGCATCCCGACGGCTCAGGTGGTCAACCAGGGTATGCCCACCCCTTCCCTGCTAGCAAACCTTGGTGGTTGTGCGAAAAAGCGGACACCTAAGTGGGGAATGTAGCGCGGGCAACATGTTCGACAAAATGTGTCTCCATGCTAGCAAACCTTGGTGGATGTGTCCTCGTAGATGGACCTGCGTCGAGAAGGAGAAGGACCTGCGTCGAGATTTTTTAGCACATGTGATTTTTAGCAAGTAGTACCATAAAGGGTCTCCAGAGATTAATCAGTCTCATACTGCATGTTCCATCTGATTGCACAATTACCCTCTGAATTTTAGCATGGAATATATACTCAAGGGGGGAATGAGGAAACTGAAAGTCGGTATGGGATTCAAAATCAAACCTATTATGCTTTTATATAATATATCAATGCTGCTCTTTCTCTGTCATTTTTACACTAATTGTTTCTCCATAATATGGACTGTTTTTGTACATCACTCATGGGATGCTCTTTGAGTTGTATGTAGATTGAACAATTGCTGAAAGAGTCTGATAAATAATCTGGACATCAGAATACCATTTCATCTTTGTCAAAATTTATTTCATTACTGGCTCCTTGATTAAATCTGCTAAGGTTAGTATTTGTTCAAGTTGACTGTCATGAAGATATTTATAGTTTCCTGACAATCAATTTTCCATGCCTAGCTACGGGTTACAAGAACGCTAATCCTGTGGGCATGCTTTGTTGTTTTGTCAAACAAGTCTTTCTAATTGTCAGTTTTGCTGAAAATTTTATGGTCACCTAATATTAAAAAACAGAAAATATGTAAATCTGAATGACAAAACATGAGTTTACTCCTGCTTTTATTACTTGGTGTATGCCATCATGGGTATTCATTATTCTCCAGTTTGGTTGCTGCGACGATTCATATCAATTTTAGATAGCTGCACTGTCAGGTTTAGTGTATGCTATCATGATTATCCATGCATTCTCCAATTTGGGTGCTGTGAAGATTCATCATATCTGCAACCAACAATTCAGTGCATTTGAGAATTCTTGTGTTTTTCTTTTCTAATTAGCCATTCACAACTAGACCTGAAATGAAAAGATGCAAAAATAATTCAGTTATTATTAGGCTTTTTTGTCTCATAGTGCCTGTTTCTGTTGATATGCTTAGATTAGGTTCTTATAAGAATATGTCAAATATAAAAGATAAGGATAAGAAGACCCCAATAGCGGATGGAACTTTCACGAAGAATATTGTATTTAAGGAGGATCTAACGCTATAGGCGAGGTAACATAACATTACTAATGCATACAATGCATTTTTTCCATTCAATTTATATTGTACAAATAATATCTCACTAATGCCATATTTATTGCTGTTCCTAGTTATTTTTAAATGGTTTATTATACTCTACACGAAGATGTTGTATATACACTTGTGTGATGACATAATAAAAATTGAACATGTGTTATATTATTGTTATAAAAATGACACTTTCAGTGTTTTGTTCATAATATTTCGTTTTGTAACCATTCATAACTATTACACGTGTAAGTTCTCAAAACCATGAGTTTTGTTGACTTTCCCCACTTTTTCTCATGTGGCAATGTGGGATCAATCGAATTAGCACCTGCATAATTACAAACATAAACTACTTGAATAAAACCAACGAAGTAAGTTAGCGATAATAGTGAACAATAGTGCTAAACAACACCATACCAGTGGTCGTGGGATGGCACGATCGTAGTGGCGTTGGTTCCGCGTATGCACGAGGATAGTTCCTTTGTATTTTCCATTGTTGCACCAGGGTCATTAGTTTGTGAGCACGAAAGAAATTGATATCGGAGATTTCTTCCTGCCAATATAAAATATTATCTTAGCCGTATCATGGAAATATCTATAAAGTAGAGTTTGTGAGCCTGCGACGCCGTGCACTCTGTGACTGTGTTAAATTCATAAACTTTGATTTTTGGATTAAATATCACTTTAACGTTGGTATTTAATTTTTACAGTATTGTTTTCTTATCGTGCGATCCGTGTGTTTTTAATACAAAATGTTAGTTATCCCGTAGCAACGCACGAGCACGCTACCTAGTGTAATTATGAAAAACGTGCAGATCAAACTAATTTAGCTGTGACCAAGTTTATAGTAAATAATATTAGCATTTATGTCTCCAACTAAATTTATTATGAAAATATATTCTATAACTAATCTAATACTCCCTCCATCCTAAATTGTAAGTCATTCCAAGAATCTTGGAGAGTCAAACTTTTTCAAGTTTGACTAAAATTATAGAGAGAAATACAAAGATTGATGACATCAAATAGATATAATATAAAAATATAACTAATGAAGAATCTAATGATACTTACTTGGTATGATAAATATTATTATTTTGTTATATAAATTTGGTCAAATTTGAAAAACTTTGACTCTCCAAGATTCTTGGAATGACTTACAATTTGGAATGGAGGGAGTAGTACTTATTTTGTTTTATGAGCATTAGTATATTTTATATAATTATAGTAAAAGGTTAAATTGTTTGACTTCTGAAATACGAGAATTGTATTTTTTTTAAGGACGGCTGCTAGCTTTGGCTGTAGTTGCTACACATTCGTCACCGGCGGCTCTGCGGAGTATACGCGTCACTGCATATGTTTCAGAGGTTAATTAACGCCAGAAATCTCAATCAGAGCTCAGCAAATCCGATTAGCTAGTCAACAGTTTATGTCATTGACTCTTTAGTTCATTATTATTAGTTCCCGGAAGAACGATATGCGTACTTGGACTGGTACGCATGTTTGGTCCGACGCACAGCTTCTCTTGTCAGTCTTTTCAGACAACAAAGGGAGCTTTGGTTTCTCGACTTTAGTTGCACGGTTTAGATTGAATGGCAACATTAAAATTCTAATTAAAATAATTTATGACTTTACAGCTCCAATTATTGGCTCCAATACGAAAAATAATAGATTGAAGCCATTGAGAATTCATTATATGTCTTCGAGGTGCAACTTCGCCTATAATAAATGTATTTTCAAGATATAAATATACATATAGCATCTTTTATGTTTCCAAACTCACTATAAAACCTTGCAAAATATCTATTAATAACCATTAAATTTTGAAAATTTGGAGATTCTTGGTACCACCGCCACGCTATATATCCATGAGTAATACTACTATGGTAATTAAATTATGTAGTGAAGGGCTTGTTTAGCTATACTTCAACCTATCCCAATTCACAGTTTTCATCCCAATATATTTGGATTAGGATGAATTAGAGTGCATAGTATATTATTTTCTTATATACGCACGTATCCATCGGATTTGCATAATAACATACTTCCATGGTCCCAAAATATGTGATCTTATACCATTCAAAATTTATCCCAAAATTCCTGGCCTTTGTTCCCAATACACCTTTCTCTTTTCTCAATATAATATACACATTCCTTTTTTCTCGGTACATCTCTATCTCTACTCATTGAGGAGCATTTTGGTCTTTTGGCTTTATCGTTGATTTTCGTAAGAGATTTTAAAACGTCATCTAATATGGAACCGATGGAGTAAGTCATAGTGCACAAGTGCACATCTCATGGGTGTAGATAAAAGTGTAAAACTGTGTAAATAAACGTGGGGACTGTCGAGCACTGACAGGGATACATACATAGGTGGACCCAGGGCCCAGCGACCCTGGGCCCTTGCCTGGGCTCGTCTCTGACTGGACCCTTAAGGCCCATTACTTCTCCCATGCTGTTACCGTCAATCCCAGCCAAGGGCAGGAAAGCAGCGAGCCGCACAGCGCAGTAAATGTCGCCTAGGCTCGTCAAGTTTCCTGGGTCCGTCACTGCCCACTGGTTCATACATACGTACGATCTGACGTCGCCGTGCTCTTGGTGACCACTGGTCAGGCTCCCTGTTCGCCTATTTAAGCGGTGCTCCAAGTTACCAACGGCGTACACCCAGAGCTTCATTCTTCTCAACGGAAAAGCCAAGCAAGGTTGAAGAAGCAGATCAAGTTAGCTCAACTAGTTTTCATGGAGATGGAGCAGGGCGGCAAGACGGCCCACGGGTGGGCTGCCAGGGATGCCTCCGGCCTCCTCTCCCCTTACAGCTTCTCAAGGTGGTCTGTCGATGTCTCTCTCACACTGTCACACAGACGGACATCACCCAAACATATATACGTCTCTTTCCATGCCTAAATACGGAGTATTGTACGACACTGCGCTTCTGTGTGTGCGTATATAGTGCGTGGGACATGATATGCATGTTTCCTGCGTAGCTTCATTCGTGCTCTGCTTGACGACGATTTCAGGGTTCAGGGGGACGGCGACGTCACGATCAAGGTGCTCTTCTGCGGCATCTGCCACACTGACCTCCACGTCATCAAGAACGAGTGGGGCAACGCCATGTACCCCGTCGTCCCAGGGTAAATACATACAAACGAACTTCTCATAGCCTAATCATCATCTAATGCTCAGATCGATTTCTAATCATCTAACGGTGTGCATGTCAACGCAGGCAGGCATGAGGTCGTCGGCGTCGACGGGCGTCGGCCATGGCGTGACCAAGTTCAAGGCCCGGGACACGGTGGGCGTGGGCTACTTCGTCGACTCCTGCCGCGCCTGCGAGAGCTGCAGCACGGGGCACGAGAACTACTGCCCCCAGCTCGTGCTCACCTCCAACGGCGTGGACCACCACCACGACGGCGCGACCACCAAGGGGGGCTTCTCCGACGTGCTCGTCGTCAGCCAGGACTTCGTCGTCCGGGTCCCAGAGAGCCTGCCTCTGGACGGCGCCGCGCCGCTGCTCTGTGCCGGAGTCACGGTGTACAGCCCGATGGTGCAGTACGCGCTCAACGACAACGAGCCGGGCAAGCACCTTGGCGTCGTCGGTCTCGGGGGCCTAGGCCACATGGCCGTCAAGTTTGCGAAGGCGTTCGGCATGAAGGTCACCGTCATCGGCTCGTCGCCTGGCAAGCGCGAGGAGGCGCTCGGACGCCTTGCTGCCGACGAGTTCTTGGTCAGCCAGTAGCTCAAGTTCAGGTCCTGTGACCGTCGATTGGTAACTGTTAAGTTCACTTAGGATTCTAGCAGTCTTTCTAGGGTTTGTTCCTTTGAATACGGGATGAACAGAGGGAAAAGATCGGAGAGATAAAGAGAGACGTGTTGGTGTTGAACCTGAGCCCTCGGAGGGAGTCGCGGAGCCAGCCATCTCAGCTTCGGTGATGGAGGCAGCACACAGACAGCGACGGGTGGAGTAGAGGTGGCACGGACGTCGATGCGGTCTGCAGAACGAGACGGACGTATGTGATGACGACGACGAAGTCGCGGAGCTTCTCGAGCATTGGTGGCCCTCTTAGATCGGTCTAGGGTTTGTCGGTGGGGTTTGTGGCTCACGGTGAACCTCGTACCTCGAGCCGCCGGCCCCCACCTCTTTATATAGCGCAGTGTGACAGGGGCCCACCAACCATGTAGGGTTGGGCGCCCCCGATCAGGGCGCGTGACCAAGGCCCAATAGGCCGTTGGGCTTATTGGCTGAGAGATCAATCTTAACATTCTCCCCTTGATCTCACTATTACTTTTATCTTTAAACTTTAAACTTCAATCCTTTTATCCTTACTCATTTCTTCATAGATGATGCATAGAGCATGTTTCATCGTCACGGTCAATCACCGATAGATTTAACAGCTACAATGCATGTCTCTGATCTGAAATAGTTACTTTAACTTTTGGACCCTTTATAGTCCAGGAATCATAGGCTTTCCCTTAAACCCATGCCGACTACATGTTCTCTGAACACGTTGGGTGGTAAGCCTTTTGTAAGCGGATCCGCGATCATCTTTTCGGTACTTATATGCTCAAGACTTATCATTTGATCCCGAACTTTATCTTTCACAACATAATACTTTATGTCAATGTGTTTGGCAACACCACTTGACATATTTGTTGTGAGCATACTGTACTGCTGGATTATTATCGCAGTATAACTTTAGTGGTCTATTGATGTCGTCAACCACCTTCAAACCGGGTATGAACTTCTTAAGCCAGTTCACCTGCCCCGTTGCCTCATAACACGCTACAAACTCGATATACATTGTGGACGATGTAGTGACGGTTTGCTTTGAGCTTTTCCATAAAATAGCTCCCCCTGCGAGAGTAAACACATATCCAGACGTGGATTTTCTATTATCTCCCGCATAATCAGAATCTGAATATCCCACTATATGGAGTGAATCAGATCTTCTATACGTCATCATGAGGTCTTTCGTTCCTTGCAAATAACGCAAGACTTTCTTTACCAATTTCTAGTGTTCTATTCCAGGATTGCTCTGGAATCTGCCAAGTAACCCGGTAACAAATGCCAAGTCAGGGCGCGTACACACTTGAGCATATTGCAAGCTTTCGACAGCTAAAGCATATGGAACCACTTTCATTTGATCGATCTCATATTGGTTCCTGTGGCATTGAAAATCCCCATATCTGTCGCCCTTGACTATAGGGGCAGGTGAGGGACTACATTTGTGCATACTGAATTTCTTTAAGACTTTTTCTATGTATGCTTTCTGTGACAGTCCTAATACCCCTTTACTTCTATCTCGGTGAATCTCGATCCCTAGAACGAACGAAGCTTCACCAAGATCTTTCATATCAAATTTTGAGGACAAAAACTTCTTTGTTTCCAGTAGTAGACTGACATCACTACTAGCAAGTAAGATATCATCCACATACAGGACAAGGAAGATAAACTTCCCATTCTTAAACTTTGCGTAGACACAATTGTCCTCAACATTATCTTTAAACCCAAAATTCTTTATTGTTTGATCAAACTTCAAGTACCACTGTCTTGAAGCTTGTTTTAATCTATAAATGGATTTCTTTAGGCGGCATCCCAAACGTTCTTTTCCTTCCATGACAAAACCTTTCGGTTGTGCCATGTAAACATTTTTCTCTAATTCTCCGTTGAGAAAAGCCGTCTTTACATCCATCTGATGTAATTCTAAATCGTAATGTGCCACTAATGCCATTATGATTCTGAAGGAATCCTTACATGAGACTGGAGAAAAGGTTTCATTGTAATCAATTCCTTCTCTTTGTGTAAAGTCTTTTGCCACAAGTCGGGCTTTATATCTCTCTATATTCCCTCGAGAGTCAAGTTTTGTTTTGTAGACCCATTTACAGCCTACTGTTTTGGCTCCTTTAGGAATTATCTCCAAATTTCAAACTTTATTTGCATTCATTGATCTCATTTCATCTTCCATGGCCTCAAGCCACTTTGATGAATGATCACTTTTCATGTCTTCTTCAAATGAGGTGGGATCATCCTCCATTTGAAATTCTTCAGTGTTGTACACTTCATATTTAGTAGGAATAGCTGATTTTCTAATTCTTTGAGACCTTCTATGGGCCTCCTCATTTGGCACATTTTCTGTTTGAGGCTGTTGTTGCTCCCCCTCATGTGTGGCAATAGGTTCTATAGGATCCTGAGGCACAGGTTCCTCATCATCATTCATTGTTGCCACAGGCGGGATAACAATAGGTGCTGGCACCACAGTGTCTTGTACTGTCGATGCAGCAACAGCAGGTAGTGAGAAAAATAGCTCATGAATGATCGGAGTGGGTGCATACATCCGCTTCTCTTCAAGGTCAATTTCTCGAGCTACCATGCTCCCCCTAATCATTTCATCATCTAGGAAGACAGCGTGTCTCGTTTCCACAAACTTTATATTTCTGTTAGGACAATAGAAACAAAAACCTTTTGACTTTTCTGGGTAGCCAATGAAATGGCAATTCACTGTTTTGGGATCTAGCTTCCCAATATTTAGGTTAAAAACTTTAGCCTCAGCAGGGCTCCCCCACACACGCAAGTGGTTAAGTGAGGGTACTCTTTCTGTCCACAACTCATACGGTGTTTTGGGCACCGATTTACTTGGTACTCTATTGAGAATATGAATAGCGGTTTTTAACGTCTCCATCCACAGACTCATCGGTAAAGTGGAGTAATTTATCATACTGCGCACCATATCCATCAGGGTACGATTGCGCCTTTCAGCTACTCCATTCTGCTGAGGTTCGTCCGGTGTGGAATACTGGGCTACTATGACATTCTCCTGTAATAACCTTGCAAAAGGCCCAGGAACTTGGCCATATGGGGTATGCCGACCGTAGTACTCTCCCCCACGGTCAGACCTGACTATCTTAATATTTAAATCATGTTGATTTTTAACTTCTGCTTTAAATATTTTGAATTTATCCAACGCTTCTGTTCTCTCTTTAATTGGATAAATGTAGCCAAACCGAGAGTAATCGTCTGTGAATGTTATAAATGAATCATAACCATCCACACTTTTCATAGGAAAAGGACCACATATGTCTGTGTAAATAATCTGGAGAATTCATGCGCTTCGTTTGACATCTTTCTTAATTTTCTTTACATACTTTTCTTTTATGCAATCTCTATCTCTACATTGTTCTAAATCTGAGAGCTCTAATGGGGGAAGAATATCATTCTTAACTAGTCTTTCTATTCTCCCCTCGAAATATGGCCTAAACGACAGTGCCATAATTTTGACAACGCATCGTGAGCTCTCTTTCGTTTTCTTTTTGCATTGTTCGATGAGAATACATTCTCATTCACATCACATACGGAATTCACATTTTCACGAAGTGATAACAAATAAAGCTCGTCTTGTCGGAAGGCAAGACCAATACATCTATTATTAAACAATATCTGACATTTGCCATTTCTAAAATGGCAATCATAACCATCATGGTCCAACTTTGACACACTAATCAAGTTTGTTTGCAAAGAAGGTACATAAAGAACATCTCTCAGAATAAGTATAAAGCCATCAGCAAGCTCTAGCGGAAGATCACCAACGGCCTCAACATCTGCTTGTACTCCATTTGTGACTTTAATGAAACTTTTGCTTCTTTGCAAAGTTCTCATCGAACAAAATCCCTATAATGAATTAGCAACATAAATAGTTACACCTAAATCAATCCATCAAGTAGATTTTGAAAACTTTACATACAAGGATTCATTTACGAACGTAATAATGTTCTCACCTTTATTTTTCATAATCATCTTTAGGAAATCGGGACAATTCTTCTTATAATGTTCCGTCTTCTTACAGTGGTCTTTATCCACTGGGAATTGCTTATTCTGAGACTGTTGCATGGGACCCTTTCCAGATGACTTGGAGGAAGAGCTGTTGTTATAGTTCTTTTTCTTATCTTTTAGGTAGTTAACAGTACCATCCTGTGAAACTTTTATTCTTTCCTTCTCCTGCACACATATGGCTATGAGCTTTTCTAAATCCCATTTTTCAGGCTGTATGTTGTAATTAATAACAAAGGTGTCAAATTCTTTGGACAAAAAAGCAAAAATCAAATGAATAAGAAACTCATCCTTGAGTGCCAAATCCATTGGTTTGAGCTTAGATGCCAGATTGCTCATTCTCAGTATGTGCTCTCTAATGCCACTGTCGCCACCAGAGTACCTTTCTGTTATCAGCTGTTTGATCAGCTGGGTTGCATATGTCTTTGAAGAGTCAGTGAACTGACTCTTTATTCTTTCTAGATACTTTGTGACCGTGTTACAGTCTGGAATTGAGCCTACTATTATAGGCTCAATTGTATTCTTTATCACAGCCAAACATTTCTTATTGGCTGTGACCCACTTTCTGTTTTTAAAGTCAAAAGACATCTTTACGGGAGCAAAGTCCCGCTCTCTGTTCTGCCATGCAGCATCAGTCTCATCTATCTCCCTCACCGGTGCCACAGGTTCTCTAGGACACGATGTGGTGACAACCCAGTCCACCTCAGCGAGGATGAAAGCCAGGTCTATCTTTTTTTTTCACTCAATATAGTTATCACCTTTTAGAGTGGGGATCTCTTTGATACAACTCATCAAGTTGTATCCTTCTGAAAACACAATTCAAATAGTGTGAGAACACAAATGATAACAACAACAATTGCATGCTTTAGTTTAACGTTGGTCAAAATTAAAACATACAATTATTTTATACATTAAATCTACATCACCGTTGGGCAGAAATAGAAATAATGCATAATCATTAAAATTATAATATTGTTATTAACAACGTTGGTCAGAAAATAACAATATCATAATCAACTCATATTTATCTCTTAGCTCTTAAAATCAAATTCTCCCGTTGGTTCGAATTTAATTAAAAGTCCATAATAACTTTAAATACGCAGCGGAAACTTTAATAAATCTCATAATTCTATTTTCCAGAAACTCTTAGAATATTATACAGTTCTCCGAACAAAATTATCGTTGGACAAAATTTCCAGAGATTTACAACAAATTCTATTTAAAACCTCATCAAATATGAAGTAAACAGTTTCTGGAAAAATAAATAAACAAAATCACGAGCTATACTGTGTATATGCCATTTCGGCCTAGAAACGCGCTCACCGGCCCAGTTGCCCGTGGCCCAGCCGCGCGGCGCGTGCTCCCCCGCGCCCAGGCCGCAACGTGGGCTTGGGCCGGGAAAGTCCTTGACCGCCTGGGCCAAAAGCCGGCCCGATCAATCGCCACCGTTCGTCGCGATCCGACGGCCGTCCGTCGATTTCACAGGGATAAAAACCCCGTTGGCCGGCGCCCACCCGAAAACCCTAGCCTCATTTCTCTGCTGCCTATCTCTCTCAGTGCTGAGAACGGCAGCGGCGGTGGCGACCGCGCCGCGACCGCGGAGGACGCCGGCCGCCGTAGCTGTTCCGCGGTTGCTCCCCCGGCCTCTCTTTCTCTTTCTCCCTTCTCCCCCTTCTTCGTGTGCCTGCACCGCCCAAGGACGAGCAACAGTGGTGTCCGCCCATGGCAGCCCGGAGGAAGAAGATGGAGATGGCGCCGCCGTGAAGTTCCTCGCCGGCGCGCGTGCTGGCCCATGGCTGAGCACGCCGCCGTCGAGTAGCCTTGCAACGGTGCCCTGTTGGCCAGAGCTCGCGGCTCTTTTCTCTGTGCTCGCGCAGTGGCGGTTTCTTCTCCACACAACGACAGTGGTGCCGGCGGGAGAGAACGGCAGGTAGGTCCCTTCCACTGCGCCGATCTATTAGGTTTAGGGTTCGAAGTTGTTCACTGTCCCGATCCGGTTTGGATCGGCCATTCTGATCTTTTCGCCAAACCCTGATCTGTTCTTTAGGGTTAGGGTTTGAGTCATTTCTGTCCGGATTGAAATCCGTCTTTCTTTTGTTTTGGGTTTCTTGATTCCAAAACCTTAGATCTACACCCTAGGCTGGCGAACAACTAGGGTTAGTGTTCTTTGTTGAGACCGTGTCTCAATGTGTTTCCGACTTTTCCCGTACCCGATCTAGAGTTAGGGTTTGATTTTCTCTTCTTCCCCGATCTAGATCTACGACTAGACAAGCGTATGATACCATTGTTAAGTTCAGTTAGGATCTCTAGCAGTAGATCTAGGGTTTGTTTCTTTGAATACGGGATGAACAGAGGGGAAAGATCGGAGAGATAAAGAGAGACGTGTTGGTGTTGAACCTGAGCCCTCGGAGGAGAGTCGCGGAGCCGCCATCTCAACCGGTGATGGAGGCAAAGCACACGGCAAAGCGACGGGTGGAGTAGAGGTGGCACGGACATCGATGCGAAGGTGAGCGAGACGGACGTAATGAAGGATGGCAACGGCGAAGTCGATGGAGCTTCCGTCATTGGTGGCTGCGCGCGCCTCTTAGATCGGTCTAGCGTTTGTCGGTGGGGTTTGCGGCTCACGGTGAACCTCGTACCTCGAGCCGCCGGCCCCCACCTCTTTATATAGCGCAGTGTGATGGGGGCCCACCAACCATGCAGGGTTGGGCACCCCCGATCAGGACGCGTGTGACTAAGGCCCAATAGACCGTTGAGCGTATTGGCTGAGAGATCAATCTAACAGTAACATGGCAGATATGACCGACGCAATGTTATTTGTACGCAGAAAGCAGCAGGCACGATGGACGGCATCATTAACACGGTGTCAGCGGGGCACCAGATCGTGCCGCTGCTGGCGCTACTGAAGCCCATGGGGCAGATGGTGGTCGTCGGCACGCCAAGCACGCCGCTGGAGCTGCCGGCGTACGCCATCATCACGGGCGGGAAGCGGGTGGCCGGGAACGGCGTGGGAAGTATCGCCGACTGCCAGGCGATGCTGGACTTCGCAGGAGAGCATGGCGTCAACACAGCGATCGAGCGGGTCGAGAAGAACGATGTGAGGTACCGCTTCGTTATTGACGTCGCGGGCAGCAAGATGGATACCGTTGCTTAGGTGCCCGGATGCGTATTTCGAGTCAAGTAGCAGCCGTCATGTCGTGTGAAATTGTTCGTGTCTTTTAATTTGGGGTGGATCCACGCAAGTCAATAAACTAGGCAGAACACCGGAGCCACATGTTCAGCTCTTCTGCTATTCAATGCTTACGTACGTTTAAATTTTAAAATTTGATTGAGAAAGAGGATGCTAAAAAGCAAATCGGCTATTTTTTTTTAAGACTACGTTTTTAAGATTGACGAAGTTATCATAAACGTCTCAGTGTAGATAGACATTTCGTCTAAAAAAACAATGTTGTTAAGTCTTAAAATAAATATATGAAAATGTGAACCGACAGATCTCGAGATTAACAATGTCAGCACCAGATGTCTCGCTATCAACAAGCACATCGCCTAACATGTTGAAAAAAGACAACATTGTTAAACCGTTGAATAAATTCAGGAAAATACAAACACCTATGTCAAGTCGAGGAGTAAACGACCTGATGAAACCCAAACTAGTTAAGCCATGCTCATCCTTTGAACTTATGATTTTTGTAGTGTGCAATGTACTTGGTGTTGTAGTCTTGGTCCGGCTTTCTTCTTCATCCGTGGTGAAGTTCAGATCTAAGGGTTGGCACTTCACAATGAGGATGGTGGCAGAGGTGGCAATGGATTAGCATCAAAATCTATATGGATGAATACAAGAAAAAAAATCCAAATCCAAAGCTACCTTAATATAAAATTGAAGACCGAAAACGGCGACTAAAGGAGGGGTGAATGGGAACTGTAAAATTTCTCACGAAATATTTTCAGCCGCTGTCCCAAAATCACCGCCAAACATAATCAAGTTCCCAAACTAAATACCTAAACCAACTGGTGACGAGAGGAAAAAAAAACACTCAAAATGATAGAAAGCTAACACAAAGGACGGAACACGTTTCGAAGCAAGAATGCAAGAGCAGCGATCAAAACAGTAAGAACCAGGGCCGCGAACTGTGTGGGAAAGAATTCCGGACTGTCTGCAGTCCACTCGAACGAAACAGAACTCTGCTTGCAAAACAAAACGCAGTCGCGGACTGTCTGCAGTGGCAGTCCCCCGGACTGTCTGGGGATGGAGTCCGGACTGCCCGCAGGCAAAAATCGTCGAAACAAACAGAGACGAAAACCTTCTGCTCGCAGCTGATCCACAGAGGCCAGACTGTCTGCGCATCGGATGCAGACTGTCCGTGGCTGGACAAACAAGCAGATGCAGGCGAGCGACGGGAGAAAGAAATCTCGACGAACTCGGGTCTGCGCGACGCCGAGCTGGCCTGCAGCGACGCGGCTGCACGGGAACCGGCAGGGGCTGCTCCACCGGTGGCCTTGGCTGAAGAACGAGCACGTGCTCGGTTCAAGGAGCGCACGGCACTGACAGCGACCCTGCTCTGCTCTCGTCCGGAGTAACAAGCACAGGGCTCCAGAGATCGACACCACGCAGAGAGAGAGGAGGACGAACGGGCAGCAGGGGAAAAGGCAAGCGCTGCTCTAGGGAGCACGCACAGCATCTGTACGCCGGCGCTGGTAGCGCTGCGGCAAGAGCCCCATGTCCCTACGACTCCAACCAGCGAAGAACAGAAATAGAGCGAGAGACGACCAAGAAAATCCCTGAGTCGATTTCACTTGAAGCACACCGGTGCTGCAGACACAGAACGGAGGAGGCCGACGTCCCCTAAACCAAAACTCAACCTGAGCAATATCGCTGCTTGGTGCACACACCTGAACCAACGAACACACAGCAGAACTTGGTGCTCTGGACAGCAGCAACGCGAGAGAGAAAAACAATGAAAACCGGACCAAATCAAAAGGAATCGAGCCTAAACTTTGCACAGATGCAATTCAACCTAGCACGAACCTATTCCCCAAAAATCATAGCCTGAGATTGACCCAAACTCCGGGAAATCGTGATCGAAGCCAAGCACGAAAATGAGGAAAAACTCAAGAACACAGTGACAAAAATCATAGACAAAATATATGAATCCCGGAGGACAACAGGAGGATTCGGCCCTCCGTTCTCACTCCAAAATCACAGGTTTGTTGCACAAATTTGAAATTTGTGGACCTCTCTTGAGAACACCTAAGAGAGAGGAAAAGCTATAGAAGGATGAAGCAAATGAAAGAGCTAAGGGATCTGGGAGCTCTCTCGTCCTATTTAACAGGGCTATTATATAATCGTAGTTTTATTTTAGATATTTTTAGTCAAACCGCTTAACCTGAGGGCATTATGGTCCAACCCAAGGTAATTATCATCCAACCCAAGGTAATCTTCATCCGCGGCCATTCATGAGATAGCTTCGTCTCGACACGAACTCCTCGATGCCGCCATGTGCCATCTGTTCTCTCCTCAGAACCTCCACCCGGGTTTTGAGGCCCAAACCCAAAAACCGTCCACCCGGTGGTTTTGAGGCTCAACCCACCAAACCGCCCACAAGTAGCGTACTCTATATGCGTCCCCCGCAACTCGACGCGTGTCACCGCCGTCCTCGCAGCGGCCGTCCGCCAAGTCTTCCGGAGCCCCGCCCGACTCGCTCGACCGCCGTCTTGACTTGGTCAACACGGTCACTCCCATGTACACTTGTGCTTGTCGATGTCCCCAGATGTCAGCCACCGCGGCTAGCCACCTGGCCTCCTAGTCCCTCGGTCCAAGTCTCACGTCCGTCCTTCACTGCTCCCGGTCCATCGACATAGCACGTCCCTACTTGACCTTCACCTTGCCGTCGACCGCCGCCTCTGAGGTCCACACCTGCGCACCACAAGCCAAGAGACATGTTGCACAACCCAACTCACGCCATGGTTAGCTCACCGACTCAACCCAAGACGCAAGTCACGTTGACAATCATTCATCACCAATTCGAACCACAAGAGCACATATCAACCTTGTGTTTGCAAAAATGATTAATGTCCAATCCAATACTTTTAAGTACAAATCCATCCAACATGATCCAACAGTAACAAAACTATTACAACTACCAGTTAATTCTATGTCCAAAATTTTAAGGCACATGTTAAGAAAAAACTCTATACGATTGCCCGCTACTTTTGTGCGTACCGGTGTGACTAGATATATACATGGACCCATGTCGAAAGCCGGACTCTAGAATTAAAACCTCACATTCATACCTTAATATTATAGCAAAATTGATTAAAACTTATTGGAGATAATTCAGTATGGTTGTTCACTGCCTTCTGCAGATCGGTGTAAGTAAATATATAAGGGGGCCCCACGTCAAAAGCATTACTCTAGAATTTAAATCCTCGTATTCACACCTTAAAAAATTTTAGCAAAATCACTGGAATTTTCTATAGATGACTTAATAAGATTGCCTACTATTTTTTGCACACCAGTGTAACTAGTATATATAGGCCCTGTTCGTTTCGCTGAAAAAATAAGCCGAAATACTGTTCCGGCTGATTTGTTGTAAGAGGAAAACACTGTTCTGGATGAAAAAACAAGTTGAAAAGTACGGATTATAAGAGAAGCGAACGGGGCCATAAGGGGCCACATCGAAAGCCAAAACCTAAAATTAAAACCTTGTATTCACACCATTAAATTTTAGCGCAGTTAACTAAAATTTATTGGAGATGACGCGATACGATTGTTCATTGTTTTGTGTAGACCAATATATGACTAAATATATACATGAGTCCCATATCATAAACTTTAAACTAGACATTAAAGGCTGGTCTACCTCTCAAGTGGTCAAGTCTACATAAATCTAACAGACACTTGACTGGTTTAGTTAACACCCAATAGATTTTGTTGGATCAAACGATTATGAGCGTGTTCGGCTGGTCATGTTATGGATTGTTTTAGCTTGTTTGAGCTTATTCTCTCTTACAGAATACTATTGAATCATCCAAAACCATCTAAAATCCACTATGCAGTTTACTAGCCAAACACGCTGTATATGGACATTCAGATCCCCTCAAGATGCATTCAAAGCAATTATAGTCCAATTGGTTGGATTATCCAAATCAACTGCCACCTCTATTTGGATCTGAGCCAGCCTGGCCTGAACCCACCGATAACCTGGCCCGTAGCTCTTAATGGACCACGTTGCAGTCATCAGAGAAAGAAGACGAGGTGGAGCTTCGATAAGCGGGGAACTCTGTTTTGTTCTATGAAAAATCTTACAACCATAGTATAGACTTTTAAGTGCTAACTATACATCCTTCCTATTGAGTATGATATCGATTTCTATTACTTGTATAAGGCACATAAAACAAACACTAACATACGAAAAATATCTATAGCAACCAACGAAAGATTTGCCCGAAATTACCAAAATCGACTGATCCTACATGTTACTTTGATCTAAACAGCACATTTGTTCGCCAAGCATATATGGTGAAATAATCATGGAGTTTCTTGCTCATAGGATCATTCTTGTCATAGGTATTCAGGGGTTATGCTGAAACCCTGTCACGGGTGACTTCGTCCGCCGGTCCGCCCGTGCCGCCGCTTGCTTACCGGGTCTGTGGTCGTGGCAGGGAGCCCCCGGATTGCTTGGGTCATTGGTGCAGCCATTGGGCGTCAGCTCCCCAAGACGCCGCGCCACCGTCCGGAGGTTCTGGGATTGAAATGACAAAAACTTTCAGACCTGACCGAAATGGGTGAATCTCGGAAATTTCGGTAATTTCGGACCGGGATTCACTCGTTTTGACCAGTCAAACTATTCAGATTTAGCTACTATTTGATGGAATTTTGGCCAAAATTTGATCAAAAAGCATGAAGATGAAATGAACTAATTATAGCTTGGTAAGTCTGAATTCTATATTGAAATAAGAACTTGTAAGCATGTTTGAACTCTAGACTCTGACTGAAAAATCGAATTTAACTGAATTTTTCCGCTGTTTTGGACCTTATGGAAATGGGTGAATTTCACCGAAATTCGATCATCTCGGGGCGAATCCCAGAACCGTGCGTCCGCCTGCGAGGCAGCGAGAACCAGCAGCGCAAGTAGAAGCACTGCCGTCGCCGCT